CAGCATTTCTGATTAATACCTGCTTCTAATATTTGAAACATTTGTTTTGTGGCAGGAGATTAATCATCTGTTCTGAAGGTGTTTGGTTTATTTTTTATTGCTGGAAGATACATACATTTAAAAGCCAATGAGCATCTCCTCCTAGGAATGTACATATCTCCTTTGTCTGTCTCTCTTTATGAGCCTGCTGCACGTTGACAAGTCCTGTCGAATTATTTCCACCCTGTTCAGATGTTTTTTCCCCTTATTCAACTGTAGGCACAATGACAAATCAGAGTTGCAGTATAAAATGTACGTTGCTGGGAAATGACCGTGGCGAATTCAGTGCCGTGCTGGTTACTTGCTGTATTTCAAGGCAGAAGAGCTATATTTGATCTTGGGGGTGGAAGAGAAAACCACAGTGTGCAGGCTGGGGGCTGCCCTGTCGCTAATTTATTGGAAGATTTGGGAGAAAAATAATCTGTGTTCTCGTTTAATGTTTTAGGCCAGATATTAGCATGAATTATGGCGCTGGCTATTTCTACAAGAGTCAAGTGGAAAATTTAATTCCTTGGAGAGTTATGTGTGGTTCTGAGCCATAACTAAGGCTTTTAACTGTCACGCTCCTGCAAATCATAATAAAGACTAATAGGTAAAAAGGCACTGCTCCTTTAAATCAGTGTCACCAGTGACTCAGAGCATATATTGATTTTAGTTTTTTTAACCTACCAACAGTTTCAATTAAGATTCAGCAGATCCACTCTGAGAAAACCCTGTATAAAATGCTTCATAATATTTTTGGTTTAATACTGTTTTTTAACTTCTGTTTAAGAAATGGGCATTTAAAAGTAATTATGTCTGCAACATGTTAAAACATTGGTCTAGAAGGTTAGTATAATGCCCAATTCATAGCTTTTGTTATAAATTTTTGAGTGTATAATTACTAGACTATATCAATATGTATTTCATCAACTTTTTTCAAGCAACAGCTATACAAATGTAAAAAGTCGATTATATTCCCCCAAACATACTCCTTTCTGAATAAGAGAGAATTATGGCATGGTTTGAATAAATAAATAAATAAATAATCCCATACCATATTTTCACTGCAAATAGTGTCCATACCAACAAAACATTTGGACAAAATTATTACAGGCTGTTTGTCTTTACCCTTTGTAAAGCTCTAAGCAAATTTCAGTGCTTCATCCACACACGAAGCATTTACTGCTTTTTGATTTCTACCACATTTGTCATGCCCTTTACCCACATTTGTGCATTTTGGGAAGGCTGACTCCAAATGTGCAGCAGGCGTTGTTTCTCTCAGGGTTGTGTGACCGTATCCTGCATGGAAGCCATGAGGGAGGAAGGCACTGAGAGGCTCTGCTGTTCTCCAGGAGATCTTGAAAGCTGTGGAGAAAGAAATGAAAAAGAAGGGCAGCCATGAGAGGGAAAAGCAAGATGCATGTGTAGAATAAATGCATATTAATAAAAAGGTTTGCCTTCTGAGTCACTGTGATTCTCATTTAGATTTCTATATTGGCATGTGGCAACTGCTGTAATTGCTGCATTAAAAAATAATACCAGGGATGTTTTATATTTTTAGTCCTCACTGCAGTGATTTATCAGCTAGGGATGGGAAAAAAATTATAGCACTGTACTGTTAGGCAGTTTTCTGAAGACCATCTCAAATCTATAGGTCATAATCTGGAAACCTTTGGCAAGAAACTTTGAAGTGAAACAGGGATAATTCTGAAATTTCCTTCAGAGACATTCTTAGCTGATATATTTGTTCGTTTGTACATGTAGATCTTTGTGAAGTCTTTTGTCATTTCACAAACCAACTTAGATTTCCCATTTCCATACTCACTTGGTGCTTCCATCCCATTTCCTAAGCAGGCAAGAAATTTCTCTTTGCTTTCGAGGTTGTGTGCTGAGGAACTTCACACATTAAGTGTAACTTCACTGCCATCAACCTTTGGAGGCCTCTGAGAAGTGCATTAGCTCTCCTACACATTTGGTTTTCCACGGGTTTGGAAATTAGCAGGTTAAAATAGAAAAACTGGCATGTTGACAAGGAAATTGCTGGTGTTTATGCAAAGAAGGATTGATTTATGGAAGGTGCTCTGAAACGGGTGATGAAATTTCCTGTATTGTAATTTTAAAATGCCAGAACAGGAAGAGACCTTCAACACTGAGTGGTGTCTGAAGTTCGTGACAGGCTTAGGAGCTAGCAACTATTAGCACACTTAAATACCTATTTTATTAATAAGCTGAAGGAGGATTGACATCACTGCTCTAAAGCTTTTTCTTCTGAGGGTAGCCTGAGATGTTCAGTCCATATTTGCAATGTTCTGGCGTTTCAGCATTGCAGGGCTAATGCTCTTTGGCTGTTTTCCTGAAGAAATGGAGGGTAGTGTAGGAGTACAGCACAGTGGCCTTGGTGGGGAAAGGAGAGAGAAGAATTCCCAGTGCATCTCCAGGAGCCCCTGTCTCATGAACAGGAGCAGGTTTGGTAAAAAGGTTGAGCAGCAAAATCTCCTTTACAGAAAGGAAAAATGTGAGAGAGGAGAAGTGAGGTGAAAAATAGCTACAGTGAGGGAGAGGGAGGACTGGAAAACTCCTCAGGTTAAAACAGTAGGAAAATGGTGAAGAACTGCAACAAAAGATTAAAAAAATAAAAAATTAAGCCAAACTATTTAAAAATTTAAAAAGTCATTGAGACCAAAAAGGGGAAAATAAGCAATGAAGAAGTGGAGTAAAAGAGAAAAATATGGAGAAAAAATATTGATCTAGCTTTAGCCTATGCCTCTTTGTGCAATGTGAGTTTAGAAGATCTTTGGTAACCAGATCAATAAAATCTTTAAAATCATTTAATTAGATTGAAGGCCAAAAGATAAACTCTTGTGATGAAAACTTCTACCTTCATTTGCCAGAAGAGCAGTAAAACATGTTCACTGCTCATTTACCTTCTGATTGATTTTCCTTCAAGCTAAGAAAAAAATGTACTGCGTTTGGTCAGAAGGCGGCATTGATGTACCTTCTCCTGATTTAGAAATGTAGAATACAAGGCAATGGTCACTTAAGGGTAATTAAAACCATAAAGCGAATGACAGGTTGTCTCCGTTTAAGGCTCAGGACAAGCCCAGGGAGCAGGATTTTCTCTCTGTTGTCCCCTACCCTCCCAGGGGAGGATTTAAAAAAAAGGGAATAGAGAAAAAGATGCTTCGCACAAGGTTGGAAGTTAAGATTGTAGCAAGTTTAATGAAAAACAACAGGGGAAAGGAAAAAGGAATTAATAAGGGATAAAGGATATTTAACGATATACAAAACCCGATCCCAGCAGTCCCGAGTGGAAGTGTCCGAGCAGTGCCTTGTGGTCGCTGTGACAGCTGCGACTCATTACCAGGGACTGCAGTGGTGCCGGTAGCGGATGGGGGTGGACGCTGTGGGAAACGGTGGATGCTGCCGAGCACCTGGAGTCAGGCCCAGCCATCCCCAGATGCGACAGGAAGCAGCCCAGGAAACCAGGAAAAGGCCGCCAAAACCTCGGGCCTCCTCGGTTTTTTATAGACTGTGGCCAGAAAGGGGAGGAAACAGTACTGATCTCTGACCCCCCAGGATCCTACAGACACCACCTGTCCTTCCCTTTCAGGCTGTTAACCCTTAAACCATAACACAGGTCTACAAAGATTCAAGAGTTAACAAGTTTCTATCTATGTATGAGACAAACCTGGCAACTCCTGCCCAGCAATACTGGCTATGAAGGGTGATTGGCTTTATTTCTGGTTTCTGCGGCTAGAGAATTTATTTCCTAATTTAATGCTTACTTCAAATGTAATTTATTTGGGTTGTTCAGGTGTCAAATCAGAAGCAAGCAGAATTTAAATTTAGAAGTTTGGTTTTATGTTATTGTTTTTGCAAAGATAAAACTGTGATCTCAAACACAGTGTTTTTAAAAATACTCTCTGTTTTATCACTTTGGTGTTTTACGTGCAGTTATTTACATTAATATCACCATATTAGTTTGGAAAGAAGTAAACACCACTGTGCATTTATTGCTCTAAATGTCTTATATCGTGTTTAGTGAAAATTGACTCTTCTGCCTCTATGATACACCTTTAGAAACAAAATAACTTCACTGATGGTAACGTATTCATTGTATGTGCCATAAAGCTGTTTTCTCTGAGCGGACGTTGTCCTGCACCTTTTTAAAGCTTGGTTTTGTGCATCTATGTTTCAAGTAGTAATTCCTGAGTGTTAAACCTGAAGTAAATGAAGCACTGCTACACCATCACACGTAAGCTTTAAATCACATAGGGTTGAGCTTAACAAAATGCGTTCAACATCTGACCTTCCCAGAGCCTTTCCCGACGAGGACTGAAGGTCACCTTGCATTAACTATGATTGAGACTTGATTGTACATTGCTTTGAGCCTGGCTGGATTTCTCTATCTTCATTTCTTTTAAAGCACTCGTAAAACAGTTATTTGTGCTCTATTACTGTACTATAATGCCAAAAGAAAGGTCAGAGAAATTTATAGTTTTACATTAAAATATCTAAGAGAAGGTCATGGAGTCTGATCTTCACTGTGCTCTGGGAGTCAGCAGAGGTGGATCAAAAGGGGTTTTTAGCCCTCAGCTGAGCGAGATGTGACATTCTGGGTTCACTTGGGTTAGGTGTGATCTTTTTTAAGAGCATGGGCTTTTCTTCCACCCGAGTGTCAGGCTTTTGGAACACAATCTGTGTTCAGACATGGGTTTTAGTATCTTCCCTTCACAATTGCTTGCTTTTCAGTATTTCAGTATCTTCTGTAGCGTATAGTGTCCTAATAATCCACAGTGTCCTCAAGCAAAAATAGAGTAGGAAAAACTTAATTCAGAAGAGTGAATTCTTTTGCCTTATGATTGGTTTGGAGCTGACTTTTGATAAGAGCTGGTTCGTACTTGCAGGTTTTAAGAGTTCATTTTGAGTGTGTGCCTGTCTGAACTTTCAGTTAATTCTTGTCATCTTTTATTTTGCAGGTTACAGATAGAAGAATCTTCTAAACCTGTAAGGCTATCACAGCAGCTGGACAAAGCCGTGACCACAAACTATAAACCGGTGGCTAATCATCAATATAATGTGAGTAGCTTTCAATGCTTTCCCTTCTTCTCCTAGCCAGGAGGAGTCTGGCTCAGCAGCTCTGTCGCTCACACTTGGCCCTTGTCTTTGGAAATGTTCCATGTTATCTGGTTTCTCCCTAATTTTGTCTTCTGAGGATCTTCTGTCTCAAGACCAACATCACCCTTGGGGCTACAGTCTGCCAGCTCTAACTCTCTTGTGTTACCTGATGGAGGGCAGACTGCCTTTACCCAAGCCCTTCCTAGTGTCTTTAATATTCTTCCTCTCGTCTTCTTTTTGAAAAGTAATTTTGAAGTTTAGGGATGAAAGGCAGTTCTGGCTTTGTGCTATGAGATGTCGAAGCACTCCTTTGAGCCAAATAAAATATCATGTGGAGGTGGGTAAAAGACTTGAAAAACATCATTAATTTCTAGTCCTTTGGAGTAACTGGCAACAAGTAGAAAAGAATAACAGCTGATAATTTTTCACAGTTTCGTACCTTCATAGTACGTGTTATTTGCATCATTAGCTTTGTCAATATTACACCCACACTGGTGTAGAAGATCAGTTGATATACATACAAACTATAATGTCCTTTTTCTTAAAGATCCTCTTTGAGTAATTTGTATGTATGTATAATCGCTGCTACTGTTGAATGTGAGAAACGTTAAGTCACACTGAAAATGAGTCACTGTGTTAGTCATTTAAACTTTTACACTTTTTATTAAGATTTTATTTACATAAAACAAATTACAATATACTGGATGATATTTAAGCATTATTCTGAAAGGCAGTCAGTTTCCACAGGACCAAAAATAATCGTTTCTCTCTCATGGGACTGTTTGGTAGTAGTTACTGTTCAAAGTCAGATCTATACATAGATGCTCATACCAATATAACTATTTCAGCTCACAGAATGACATTTAACCAAAGTAGTCACATGGGTATATCCTGCTATGCAAATACAGCTTGAGATGAGTAGATTGTTTTATGATGCTACTGTGATGTACAGCGACTCTTTTTAGTGGGTTTCTGTGCTATTTGCCTGTCACTAGCATAATAACAACAGTATGACTTCAACCTGGAGACAGTCTTTGAACCTTATTCCAGTTGCAAACTGCTGTTGTTTTTATCATTGCAGAAATTTAAGTCTTGTATGAAATTCAGGGAGTATAACCAGGATGTAACCAGGCTTCTTAAAAGTTATGATGCTTTTGTGTCCTAAAAATAATGTTATTAGCGGTTACATAGCTGTCCATGCTAATGGACGTTCTTTGACAGTGTGTTTACTTCTCCTGTCTACCTTAAAGATGTTCTGATGGGAAAAATCTAGAAGGACATTCTTATGCTTGAGTCACTCTTGGCTTTGCTTTGACTCTAAAGGTCCAGGCACAACTACTTTCTGCAGTACCTTTCTTTTCATTAAATCTTTTATTAAGGTTTAAGTTAGATGGCTGAAAAGATGTACAACTGGGAGAACAAGTCCATGAACTTTTTAAACCTCTTGGTTGAATTCTTCTGGTATTTTCAAGCAGCAGTTGCTTTCTTAAAAGTTGCTACATTGCTTGTAATCATATGACAGCCGTTTTGGGGACAAGACTTTTCATAAGAAAGAAGAGAAAAATGTACAAGCTACTGTACTTGCTGATACATTCAGTCATCTTCTGGGGAGTTTCTGAGGAAGGAATGAGGATCTGCTAAATAAGAAAGAAAGGGGTAAAATTGCCTGAAGGAAGATATGATAGATTAAATGGGGCTTATCTGTGGCTGCTCCATATACCCCTAAATGAACATACAAGAGAAGGGAAGAGGAAAAGAAATTACATGTGGATGGGAAATAGTAATAGCTTGTTTGAATACAAGGACAGGAAAAGTCAAAGTTTTTTGCAAGAACTTCTATTAAACCTACCTTTTTATTAGAAGAAATTGCAATTCCATTTACAATGTATGCTAGGATTATAACTTAGCTTCTCTTCTTTGAGAAAGGGACCTTCATTTTCTGTATCTCTGTAGATGATATGTGTCATTAAAAGGTCGCAGTGTTAATGTCCTTGCAGCTGGAATATTTCTTAAATTTTTTTTGAAAGAGAGCAGAAAACTTCTCTTGTGGTCCTGGTTACCCCTTCAGAGGCTTCTTTGTGGTGTCCTCTCTTCCCTCTCTCCCATACTACAGAGGTTGGTATCCATTCTCCGAGGGATGGGAAAACCTTTAAGACTTCTTTCAAACATCTTCAGCTGAAACTTTGGGTTAAGTCTCATTTCTCTATCACCTTTGCATTAGGTGTCTACCAAAGCAGTGTAATACATCGGCTTCAGTATTAATGATACCTTCGTGAAGGCAATTTTGGCACCTTTTCAGCAAGCTTAGCAACATACTGGGAAGGTAAACAAAGAGAAGCTGAATTCTGTATGAAGTCTTGTAGGGATAAACTCACAGCTTCTACACTCAACAGCTTGTTCTAAAAATGGTGCTTCCTTGAAAGCAAAGCATATTTTAATGCTTTTTAAATTTAAAAACCACATGATTTTAAATAAATCTAATGAGTTTATAATGTGCCTGCGTTCTGTAATGTGGCTCTCAAAAAGTGCTTGAAGCCTACTGTGTAAAAGATCCTGTATGCAAAGAAAACAGGAAGGCAAAAAAAGAAAGGCTGCATTGTAACTTGCTATGAGCAGCGCATTCACAAGACAAAAAGAAGAAAACAGCAACAGATACCACGCTTTTTTGTGGGGGTTTTTTTTAAATAGCACTTGACAATGCGCTTGGTGTTTTTAGACAACAGTGGGAGCTGTTGTTGGGGTTGGAGGGAAATGCTGGAGTGTTGCTACTTAAAATGTGGGCAACTGGTATGCCAGCTGCAAATAAATTCTCAACAAAGGGAGGGCTTGATGTTCAGTTTTCTGTGCGAGTTGTTTTTATACATTAATGAGTTAAGAATATTAGAATACTCATGTCACATTTGTACAGAGAATACAAACACTCATCCTTGATTTACTTCAGCTGATCCAGAGAATGCAAAATAGGAGCTCCTACTGGGGAGAGTGTACCGAGGCACTGAAGTAATAAAGAAAGAAGAATGCTGAGCGCTACAATTTACTAGCAAAAAAAAAAAAAGATTGTGCTTTGGTAAAAAAGACTACTTTGTGTTATTTTCCAGAAGACTGTTATTCATATAATTAGGATTTTATACCCAGTCGTGAAATAGTCCTGTCAGAGACCTGACATCAGTGAAGACAATGTTGAGAATTTCCTTATTGTTACTCTGTTCCTTTGTGTAGGAAGCATCAATTTTAAAGTGAGTAGGTTTTTCTCTCCACATGGAGTTGTAGCTAGTAGTTAGTTGCTGGCTAAGCACATTTTCACAGTATGTCATTTGAAGAGGTACAAACCATACCATGGATTTTTTGTTGCTGTTCTCAGAGATTGCCTTGAGAGTCCCAGTCGCTTTTCCCATTCTGCCCATTTAACTTACCCATTATTCCCATAGCTCTGCCGCATACAGAAGGAATGAGCCTAGTGCTTTGCTCTTGTGCTTGCTGCTTGAAAACAAAACAAAAACTAGAAAAGGAGGAGATCAGTTTCTTCCATTGCTTCAGCTTGACCTCCCACTTGAGGAGGCTGCAGTTTGTTTCTGTTTTTCTTCTTGTTGTTCATTTTGGTTTTTTGTTTGGGGAGGCAGAAAAATTGCAGAAGGGTTGGTACGAACAGGAATAATAGCTCCTACTGTGGCAGAGTCATGCAGCCTGTAACTGGCTGTCTTTATCACACCACAGCTTTCAACTGCTCTGTTTTCAAGTCAGAGAAAAGTTGCTAACCCCAAAACCAAGTGCTTAGGTCTCTACACTGTGAAGTGACCTCGGATGTCTGCAGGAACCCAGAACTCAGTCAAGTGTTGCAAGTAGAGACACTGGCATCTCTCCTACTGTCTTCTGGACCTGACCTCTGAAGTATCGGAGGCTTTTCTGGCAACAGATTCGGGCTGGATAATCCATCTCCTCGTCTTGTAAAATGTTAACATGCGCATAAATGCAAAACATTTCTTATGTCCCCAACCCTAGTGTCCCATAAGCCCATGTCTCAAATGTGATAGGGCTTATGGAAAATCCAGTAAAGTGTTGTTTGCTGGTATCAGCCGTGACCTGATCAGCAACTGCACAGAGAAACTGTAAAATTCTGTGGATCCCTAAGTCAAAAAATGCTGAAAACTCAGGCTCAGGAAAGCCTGCTGCAGATCATTGCAGGCCAATAAGAAAACTCTGCTTCCAGGAGAATACAGTGTCAATGTCTTAATTTTTGAAGAGGACTGTGTACATTTGTAGTTCCTGCTTTCCTTCCTGTGTGGAAGGGAATGTACAGCATATCCTATGGGATGGTAATGTTTGACTATGAACTGCCAAAGGGAGAGTATCTGGAGCAGTTTTCAAACAGGACCAAAAAATGTTTGTTGTACCCAACTAGATGAGATTATTTTTAATAATGGTTGGGTTGCTGTTGTGGACTCGTTTTCTTTTGAAAACACAATGTAACATGGCACTGTCTGCAACTTTGCACCTGCCAGGTATTTTCTCTACCTTGGTTTCATTCCATGTGAAATCGTGATACCGCCGTAGTTTGTGATGATCTTACTCCTTTGGTCATTTGAAGCACTTTCAGTCCTATTACTTATGGATGAAAAATTATTTGTGTGGGATTTTGCAGAGAGGTGGTATCTTTTGTAACACTAACATACAAGTGGAAAAGTAGACAGGTATTTGGATGCCCAAGCCCATCTTAGGTTTTAAGCAAAAGTAACCAACTTCAAGCTATGGATTGGGAACAATTGCTCTGTGTTCAATTTAATGATGAACATCTGCTTCAGGATTTGGAAGAAAGAGTTGCCTAACCAAAGACCTGTGAGCAACAGCAAAGGTGGGAATAGTCTGCAGCCACTTTGGGACAGATACCAAGAGACGGGTTGTTTTCACTCAGAGAGTAGGAGGGAGTAAGCTGGCAAGGAAACAGAGAAAAAATTCAACTGTGCCATAAAACTAATCTCTCTTCTTCAAAATAAGATTGTTAGGATCCAGTACTGCTGTGAATTTTCCTTTCTAGCCTTCTCCGAAGGTCTTCCTTCTGAGGATCAGCTTTGAGACATCAGAGGCAGAATGACTCCCATACAGAATTACCCCACTGGTGACTGATGTGTCCCTTCCTGATCACATGTATCACTTTGTATCTGTATGTTGGATCTGCACGCTTTGGAGCCACCCACACAGTTTGCCTGAAAGCACTTGCTGACTGCATGAAATACGTTACCTTCTGGGCCACCTTTGTTGGTTCCAAGGAGCTTGATGGATTTCTGTTATCAGGGGTAGGACTGGGGGTGGATGGCGTGATGTGCTGGCCGATGTCGCGGTTGGTGCTCTATGGTGATTGGGATGTGATTGGGGTGTGCTAGTCTGTGCAAATCTTGCATCTGATGGCGAATCTGAGGAAATGCAGGAAGTATTTTTGGAGGCTGGTGGTGATAAGAGTTTCTGCAAAAATATATGGTCATATTGTGCAGATTATCATAGCAAAATACTTTTTAAGACACATTCTGAAATGGGATATGTGTGGCAGCAAAGGGCCTCTACTTGCTTGGGTGGGTTTTTTTTGGACTACTGTAACTTTGTGTGTGCTACTCAGGTTTCTCCTGAAGAGATACCCTCTGTGTCCTCAAAGGGAGTCTTCATGTGGTGAAGATTGGTTTTATATTGGTGGAGGGTTTGCCTTGAGAGGTTTCTGGAACAGATGAGGCAGTGTCCAAGGGCCATTTGAGCATCCTTTGGGCAGGTCGTTATGATTGTGGATGTAGCTGTGTTGGTCTGTGGATTTTCCCAAATATGGTAATTGTAGGTTGTTTGATACTTCAGCAGCTGATCTCAACAGAGGTGGAATGAAAATACTGCCTGTCGGATTCCTGTACTAATATTAATTCTCTCACTAGGTTTGGGCACATCATGCAGGCTTTGTTTCTGGGGTTTTTTGCTGGTTAAAGCAGAGATACATATCTAAAAAGCTTATTGTGCTGAGCACAAAATGCTTAGTTTATGTTCATAAAATAACATTTGAGTGCTCAATAGAAAATTTTCCAGATGATAAGCCCTGAGTCATTGAACAGTGTTTTATTAAATAGAAGAGGGGTTTTTTATGTCTTAATGTTCAGTGCAGAGTTATACAGTGTTACATATGAATGTCTTTAAAACGTGTTTTGTGTCTGATAGATTGAATATGAGAAAAAGAAGAAAGAAGATGGAAAACGGGCTCGAGCTGATAAACAACAAGTGTTGGACATGCTTTTTTCAGCCTTTGAGAAACATCAGTATTACAACATTAAAGACCTGGTGGACATAACCAAACAGCCGGTGGTATGTACTGATAGTCTTGCAATAGAACCATTTTCAGTAGGTACTATTGTATATGTATTTTCTGTATCCAGAAAATGGCTTAACATATACTATATGCCTTTGAATAATGCTCTGGTGTGTCCCATGCTACTCCTGTCCTCACTGAAGTAACAGCCCGATTCTGTTGCTGCTGGCAGTAGACAGCTCAGCGCTTCCTTCAGCTTCTGAACTTTATCTTGGCGTAGCAGCAGGGGTTACTCTTTTTCTATGGGTCTAGGAAATTGTGTCTCATGGAATTAGTATTAAGTGCACATGGTATCTGTGTTAGGAGCTCAGGCATCATGTCAGCACCCTCAAAATCACTTGGTTTCCTTTACAAATACAGTAATTTTTAGACTAAGAGTTTAGGGGTTTGGTATTTGGGAAATTTTTAACCACTATTTGACGTGTGCTCACATGGTTGTTGTATTATTCTGCAGTGTCTGCCAGCCCCTCCATCTGTGAACCCTCACTTTCCAGTACTTTCCTTTCTTCCCCTGTCCATGCTTTCCTTGAGCAGACCGGGCGGGAGCAGGGGATGGCAATGACACATGAAGTACCTCTGGTGCTTTTGATGTTTTTCACTGCTGACTTTGATATCTCTCCTCAACCCAGCTGCAGTTTTCAGAAAACTTAAAGGGACTTAATTATGTTCGAGTTTAAATGGAGCAACAATGTCAAAATTTGTTAGAGCCAACGCAGAATAAAGAACAGTGACAGCTGGATTATGGAGAAAAATTATTCCCCCTGTAAAAGAGGGGAAAAAATTGAGATGCTTACTAGTTTTGTTCACTTCATATTGGCAATTAGGTGGATCTGTATCAGAGGATTTGTATAATACAAGGTGTGCAATCTGTTCAGTTAAGAAGCTACACAAAGATATTACCCAATTCAAATACATGTAGGTTCACAGTTGGATGATGTGTTCGTGTTTTCCATTCCATTCATGTATCTGATGAGTCAGCTCCTTATCTGTGTGGCAGAGAAGGTGTGTGGATCATGAGAGCTGAGAAGGAAGAAGGAATAGGAGGAAGATATGGAAGAAGTGGCAAGAAAATGTTAAGATTTTTTTTTGTAAGAAATAGGTGTGACATTAACTATCACAATCACTTTGGATATAGGTAGGTGCAGATTTATCCCATCTAACATCACTTCATCTGGAAATAGTCACCCACAACTCCCACCTAAGCCATGCGAGAACAAAAGTGTTCTTCCTTCAGTGATGGGATTTGCCTCTTGAATGTACCTGTCTATCTGCATCAGCTCAAAGGAGCCTAGAAAAACTGTGCTTCTCACCCAACTTTCTTCATTAAGCACAAGAGCTGGGCAAGATTAATCCCATTTTTGTCTCAGGATTAGATGTATAGGGTAGTTTTGTATTCTATGCTTGCCTCACATGAATACTTTTATTACGTTTCTGATACATTTCTGTGCCTGTCTATATGCCTCTGCTGTCACCATATGCACCTGAATATATTCTGTCCGTAGTATAGTAGGTCTCTGCTGTGTACTTTCATCTCAGCAAATCTCGCCTTTTTTTAAACTATTGTAGTAATACAGCTACATTAAAAGGAAACCGTAAACTGATTTGAGCAAACATCACAGTATTCAGGGTACATCTGAGCTAGGGGTTTCATGTTCATTCCCAGCTGGGGTTTTGCCATAGGCGTTGGTGCCCGTCCAGCTTCCCCACACCCAGATACCTTGAGAAAATAAATGACTAAAATCCTCCTGATGCCTTTCTTCATTCTCTGGGTAGCCAGTATGGTGATAAATTCAAAATGATCTTTCAGTACGTCATCTACCCCTCATCTAAAGCCATCATAATTTCCCATCTGGGTTCCTGTTAAAAACTTCTGTAGGGAGTTGCTAACAGCATCCATTTCCATTTAAAAATCCTCTCCTTCAGTTCCTGCTGCTCAGTCAGCCTTCACTCTGTGTGTGAGCATCCCTGGTGCTGCGGACTTCAACCTCCGCTGTTTGCTTTTCTGCAAATAAAAGTATCTGTTCCTAATGCCCACTGTGGCTTTGTTGTTCACAGAGCAGCTATATCTGACCAAAAAATACTGTAAAATGCCAACAGGTGAACAGGCATTCTTTCCCCATGCAGTGCAGAGGTCGGCTGCTAATTAATCTGTGCTGAGTGTTCACTGCTTTATTTTCTGTCATAGCATCTAAGATTGTCTGGGTATGTAATTTCTCCTCTGAGTTTCTAAATGTTGAGGTTATTTTCAGATGCGAGGAAAGAAATGCTGCTGCTGTCTCCTCAGCTCCTGTTAAAATGAAGTTCTAGGTGCTTACATCACTGTCTAATAATATTTAAGACACATTTATCTAAGGGGATTAATGAAGGTATTTTTCTTACATAGTAGTAAATCTAAATAGTAAATTAAATCCTCACTACAGAATATGTTGTATGTTACACAGGAGGTTGCTGCCATCTTTATTTTGCAATCATGAAATCACAAAGCAAGTCTGTTCTGAACACAAACTACCATTATACTGGGGAAACCTGCATTGCCTTTTTAATGAAAAATAACAATTTGCAATAGTAGACAAACTGGTTGCCACCTACCCAGATGTAAATGTCAAGTGCTCCCTGGAAATGCTGCAGTAATTCTAGATTTAGACTTAAAGGCTGAGGATATAGTAAGTTTTTTATGTGAGCAATCAAATACTTGTGAAGAATGCAACCATTATGGAACCAGTGGTCTAATATGAACTGTATTTTTTTTTAAATAGGGTAGATTGTTTGCAGTTTGTTTTCTTTCAGCTTTAAGTAATGGTTATCCTAAAGACGGTGATGGGGTTTTTTTCCTCTCAAAGTTTCAGAAGGGTTTTCAGAGCTTGGAAGTTAACTTCTCTCTCAGAAATTTCTGACCCATAATTCTATAATAACATTACACTTTTAATGAAAAAAATCATAAGGAAAAGTGTAACAGAGCAGAGGATGCCTTAAATGTACAAACAGATTACCTTCTGTGTTAGAATTCTATGTATGTAAACATACTGAATCCCTTTGTGAGAAAAAACTGTGGGCTCCTGATTAGCACTCCCCAGGCTCTGAAGTTCAGTATTTGGTATCAGTGAAGGAAGTGGGGGGTTTCTCTTGATGATACAGTGGCAGACGGAGCCATATACCTCCCAAAACCACTGCTGCTTGTGTCCCACCATCACAGAGATGGCAATTGGGAATATGTTGGAAATCCTCAGTTGCTGCAGGTCACAGTTCCAGATTGAAGCGCCCTTACCCGTGGCAGAGATGTTGCCTCGCTGTTCAGCTTGGGTTGGTTTTGCTCAATGTTGTTGTGCTGCTGATTCTTGGAAGTTTTGCCCAGAAAGAAGTGGAACTGCCTGGGAAATTTAGGTCTGAAAATGAGTTGAAAAGTAGCCTTTGTTTAACTGGTGAGTGGTATGGAGGCAAGAGCACATAGCGAGAGATGAGAGCTGCACTGTGCAGAATGTCACCCAAAGATGCTGCCACCAAACAGCAGCGAGATGCTGGGAGCCAAGGACCATGCAGCTGTAGCCATTTCACTCTGCCAGGGCCCTTCAGCTCCATCACGCCTTGTGACCTGGCTTCCCAGGTGCAGACCAAGAACTGCATATGGATGTACTCCATGGGATGAGGTGCATTTGTATTTTTTTCCAGTTCTCATTAATCAGTCCTTGCGGTCTAGAGCAGAATTTAACCTTGAATCTGAGTGCATTTCATCCATCCACTCTGCCATCTTTTGAAGTGCCTATCAGGGACACTCCTGGAAGCTACCTCACATGCATGCTCAAGGATTGCAAACAAAGCAGTGGATGTGCAGATACATAGATCTACACACACTGGCATAGAAATCGCTGTCTCACTTGCTTTCACATCACCTTTTAAAAAACGCACCGTGCCACAGCCGTGTTGTCGTACAAAACCATTTGTGCAGTAATGGATGTTGCAGTGAGTACATTTGTCTCAGGTACCCGACTCTCAAATAATGACAGCATCTCTGCAATAGATGAGCTGTGGAAAGGTGTGCAGAGAGATGTACACTGATCTCCTGCTGCCACCTGCTGGGGTTTGCATCGTGCACCCATGAAGGCTGAAGAGCCATCTCCGCAGTGCAAAATGAACCCCCTGCTCTCCACACGCCGCTGGTTTGGTCAAAGGCAAGACCCCTGGTAACTTGTAGTTCGTATACACAGTCTGTTAGGGTCCTCTAAAAGAGACCTTTTTACTGACTGAGAACATACTTATTTAGTTCCCAGTGTTTCCATTTAGAAAAAAAAGGAAAGAGTAAAAGAAAGAGACTGGGCAATCAGCTTTTCTTCTTTTCCTATGTCATCAACAAATATTTGCCTTTTATATGAGTTGGAGTATTTTTGCTTAGCAGAACTGTAGATACAGAAAATACAAGGGTTGTAATAACTTCAGTTCAATATATGCACTCAGAGAGGATTAAATTGCTCAAACTAAAGCAGTTATGAATTTAATGTGGGGATTCTTTAACTGTGGCCTGCGGTTGCCATGGCAATCCACTCAAGTTGGTCTTGATTAATATTTAAACAAACAAGCAGGCAAATAGCTCTTTTAAAAAAGAAACAAATTACTGGTATTTATTATAAAGAGCAAAGGAGGGTGATACTAGTGAGCTGTCATGCGTCAAAGGTTATATTATTGGTTATCAGAGCTTTGCTTGTTTTGTTTGTGTTTTTTTAATTTCTCTTCCTAGCCTTAATACCTGACTGTATTTGAAAATTCTCTGGCACCTGCTCAGCTCTGCCCTAAAAACAAAGTCAGAATAAAACACTTAAAGCTTTGCAGAATGGCATGAAAACCACCAGCCTGGGGCTTTGATGGGGCCTGAACAAGGCAGGGAGTTTCAAGATAATCCCAGCCCAAGGAAGCTGAAAAGCCAACAGTTTTTATCTCAGGTGGAGAAGTCCCAGCAGGAGGGAGATATCACAGAATCACAGATAAGTGAGATAACGGGGATGTACAGATCCACACAGTGGCTGTGTCCCACCGCCCCAGGGAGCCCCTCGTGCACAGCGAGCTCCCAGGGCAGAAACTGTTAACAGTGCACAGATTTTGTGTGTCCAACGCTCCGGGTACCTCAGGCGTGTCTCCTCCTTTTGATTTTGCAAGGGCTTCATCTTCAGACGGGAGCCTGGGGAGCATCTCCGTGAGCTCACCCATGGTGCTGCTGGTGCAGATCTGCAGTATCCTCAGCATCCAGAGGCACTGGGAGCTTCATTTCAGCAGCCCCTGGAGCATCCATCTAGCCAGTACCTGCTTCTCCATGCCCCAGCAGGGCTGCTGCCCAAAAGCCGTCGCCTGTGGGGCTCAGCTGCACCCTGCTGCACCCCTGGGGCTTGCACTGGGCATTACACCCAGGCTGCTCTATCCCTGTCAGTGCCTGGAGGCTGGGGTCTATCACAGAGTCCTTATCGCAGAAATTCATGTTGATCAACCAAAGTTACCGTCCACTGACTCGTTTTTATGAACCAAGTCGATGTGTTAAAGCAGACTGTGTGACATTGTGTAGGAATTGTGGCTATCGTCTGCCTGTATAATTTGGATTTTTGATTCCTTTTAGATATACTTGAAAGAAATTTTAAGAGAAATAGGAATCTACAACGTGAAGGGGACCCACAAAAACACATGGGAGCTGAAGCCAGAATACAGACACTACCAAGGAGAAGATAAGAGTGATTAACAAAAGTGTTTACAAAGAGAGAATGAGCGCGATTGCACTGAGGGAACCGCAGTGGGTTTACAGATAAGACTGAGCACGGCGCAATTCGGCAAGGTTCAAGTTAAGTTAAAGCAGCTGATACTTTGTAACTTTCCGTAGCTTCTTTTTTTCTCCAAGGAATATTTCTTGTACATTTCTATAAGTGTTTTGACAGGAAAAAAATATTTATAGAATAAACTTGTCTTAGATTGATCTTTATTAGAAACCTTTTGAGTCCTAATCTTTTTCTTGATAGCTTGGTGGCTTTTCCAAGCCTCAGTGACTTTGAAGGAAAATGTGTCCTAGAGGAACCCATAACTTTGTGGGTTTGCATTCCAGCAGAACCGGGTCAGTGCCCTCACTTCTGCTGGGATCCATCAGGAAGGCTGCAGGGATGCACAACCGTTTGGACGGTGTTTGGACGTTTCTTTTGGGATCAGGCTTTAGGTAAAACAGCCATGGCTGCAGTGCTCATCACAGTCCTTAGGCTCCATGGGAACAACAACAGTTAAAAAAAAACCAAACCAAAACTAAAACAAAGGCTGTTTGGTACCCAGGTCAGTGGGAAGACAAAAATCCCCTCCAGATGATACTGAGAAAAAAAAAAAAAGTGATGTCTGTCAGGTGCATCAAGGAATAGATTTACCTTTTGTTTGTTTTTTACGATGTTACCTATGTTTTATGTTTAAGCATATCAATAAAAGCATTTTACTTTTTACCACACTATGATCTACGTTATTGACTGAGCACATGTTGTGATTTAGATAGCATAGTTATCAAGGTGGGTTTTTTCCAAACTGTGTTTTTATTGCTGGCTTTGCTACCGAGTTTGTGTGTTCTGGGGGAGATTGCTTAATGTATCCGTGTCTCTGTCCCCTCATTTTTGAAATGCACGTTGCAAAGGTTTTCTATTCAGCATCCTTTTTTGTGGGGGAGCAGGGAGGGAGATGGGACAGGACTACTTAATTATATTGTAAAAGCTTTTATGTTAATAAAAAGCGAAGAAAACAGAGTGTGGGGGGGGCGATTAGTATACCTGTAAATGAAGCAGAAGGTGAGATTTTATAGCACAACTTTCACATTTCTTCAGATCCTTCAGATGTGTGCATCACTTCCGCAGTTGTAAAATAATGGGTCTGCATGAAAAGCAAACATTCCATTATGGGTCCACTTGAAAGCAATGAAGGATTCGGAGGGGGGTCAGATGCCTTCGGAGGTCTGTAAGACGACTCTGACCCCTTCTGCGTGAGTCACACATTTTAATTTAGCTCAATTCATTTTTTCTAGAATTGTTGGTGTCTGTCTCTCTCTACAGAGAGGCTTCCCGCTTGTGCTCAGCCTTCCATGGCCTGGAGTGCCCAGTTCCTAGGAGGTGGACTGCTGAGGCTTTTTGAAAACCAAATCACGTCCTAGGGATACATGTGTGTGCTATCATAAATACTGCCATTGACTCCTGTCTCCTCGGGCTCTGCGAGCAGGACCCAGCTTGCTCATAGCTGCAGGAGGTCTTTGAGGATGCAGAGGAACCCAGGAAGTCACTGTTTGTGTCTTGTCACAGCACAGTAAGTGCTCCCCAGCAACAGCCAGAGACTGCACACGTGTTGTTCAAGTCCTCAGACGCTTGTGTTCACAAGCGGTGAGAACTCAGCTGGGCTCCTCTGTTGGATTCATGTCCTGTTTGAGCAGCTGAGGTACCTGGAAAGTCTGGGTCAGCTTCTCCCTTGTGTTGCTTCTCTCGTGATCTTCTAAAACTGTGCAATCCTGATTTAGTAGTGTTGTAATTCAGCGCCACAGGTAAAAATGACGGGGCCGTTTCAGAGGGAAAAGGATGCCTTTCACACAATCCCTAGTAAGATTAGCTTAGCAGGAAAGTATTTTAGATCTGCTTGTATTTTTGGTTTTATGTCTTTACTGCTTCACAATTTGTCTTCAGTTGAGAGGGACGTAATCAGTCAGTGTGAAATGCCAGAAGGTCTAAGTAGGTATTTTATTGATCTGCAAAGTGCCTTTGGACAGGGTAAATAAGCTATTTAGGAGTAATGGAAAATGTACAGAACACACCATTTTTTATGTGGTTTATGTTTTTTACAGAAAACTAATGAGCATCAATAAAACTGGGGAGAGTGCTAGAAGTAAACAAGCAGTGGAGTTTTGAACCAACACACAGGCACAGGCACTGCAGGACTGGTCTAACGTCATGCGAGACTGCAATAATGATTTTAGCATATGGGGCACTCTCATTTGGATCCAGCACATAATAACCAGCAAAAACTCTCCAGCTCCACTCCACTCATTCTGCAGTGGGACCTTACGCAAACGCTGTTAGCAGGATTGCCATCTGCCAAAAGAGAGGAGGAGGAGGAGGTTCGTAGGCTTTCAAGTCTGATTCCCCAGCCCCCACGTTTGGATTAATTTAAACTCTGAACTTGCAGCAGTGATGAACCAGACCTGGTTCCCTGCTGGTCTTCCCATGTGCTGCTGTCTCTGCTCATGCAGAGGTTCTTGACTATCAGTGGTCAAAACACTGGTATCTGAGCAGGTCCCATAGGCACTAGCAGAGGTATCAATGTGCTAAATGCCATTAAATGAAATTAAATGTGCATCTCATCTAGAATTACTTCTCCCAAGTGACCTATGCTTTGAGTCATCAGAAATTTCATAGTGGGTAAGCCCAGTTGGTACAGGCATGGGCCCAAGTGAACCACCTGGTCTAGTGGGACATATCCCTGCCCATGGCAGGAGGTTGGACCAGA